GGATAATGCAAGTTATCACTCCAGACTTATAGAAGGACTGCCCACAACCAAGTGGTTAAAAAAAGACTTGCAGAATTGGCTGAGTTCAAAAAATATTACGTACCATCCCGGATCTATAAGAAAGGAACTTTATTCGTTGTGTGCCCTTCATAAAGAAAAATTTAAAAAATACGAAATTGATGAAATTGCCAAAAATCGTGGAATGACAGTACTTAGATCCCCACCATATCATTGTGAATTAAACCCGATTGAACTGGTATGGGCACAGATAAGAGTGAAGTTTCAAGAAAAAATACCACTTTTAAAATTCATGATGTTAAACAGTTGTTTTTGGAGGCCGTAAATAATGTAAAACCTGAAAACTGGGAAAAGGCAGTAAATCACACTATTAAAGAAGAGGAAAAAATGTGGAAGCTGGACAATATTACTGATAAAATGATCGAGCCAGTTATTATAAATCTTGGTTCTGAAAGTTCATCTTCTGAATCTGATTTGGATTTGTAACAAGTAGCTGTAAGTTTTATATTAATATTTTTATTCATCTATTTAACATACCTTAGACGGTTTTAAAAACTCTTTTTCTCTTTTGTAATTTTTAAAAATTAAAAAAAATGTGAATTTTTTAAAACCCTTTTTAATGTAGGCCAGTCAGTTCTAATATAGTGTGTGATAAAAGAGGTCACTTTTGTTTACATACACATAACACTTTATAACACTGAAATAATTCATTTATTTTTTACAATTATTCAAAGTAATTTTTCAATTAATCTTGAGCACGCCCATGGAGTGGTCGGAGGTACCAGTTAAAATTATGCTAATTACTCTCTCGTTCATAAAAATAAACTATAAATTAGAAAGCAACTTTTACCAAACTTATACGGTATCAATTATTAAAGATGGTATTATAACAATCAAAAGTTTGGTATTTATAAAACAATCTGTGTTCGATCAAACTCCATTTATTATTGAAGTGAGTAATATTTTGTAATTAGTGAGATTTCTAATAATTTAATTTGTTTAATATTGCAACGCCACTGCATGGGTCTGATCATAGATATTCTATTGTCTGCGCGATTTACTATTTCGTGGAAGGGCTCGCCACTCGATTTTAAATAAGCTGTTCCAATTGTATCTACCGGTGGGCGTCCTCGAAGTATCATAAATGCGCGCCCTTGGTTCTTCATATTTGGCGACTACTGTATATGGGTATTAAAGCTGAATAATGATATAATTCTGGAATCCATGCTAACCAAATAATATTTTGAGAAAATGAGAAAAGGCAGCAATATTTGATTTCACGCAAACAAATCCTATGTATCTCTTGATACGTATTTCGACCTAATAGGTCTCGTCAGAAGAGCTATTCATAGGGTTTCTCAACGTGAAAAAATCAATATTTTCTGCCTTTTAAGAAGCAACAATAAATGGCTTCAATACGGACGCACTAGCGACATCTAATTAAACAATCGTAAAATAGTTTCGAAACACAATTCAGATTTCTGCTTTATAATCTGAGCCTTCTAAGAATTGCAAGGCAAACAGACGTTGATAAAAGATGTTAAAAGAGACATGGGGAATCTAAAATTTGCATTCCACGACATGTCTTTTACAACTAAGCAGAAATCCTTAGCGAATTGTGCTTCTAGTACTCACACAGAGTAAATCCGAATAAAATGGGAAAAGGCAGCAAATATTTGATTTCACGCAAACAAATCCTATGTATCTCTTGATACGTATTTCGACCTAATAGGTCTCGTCAGAAGAGCTATTCATAGGGGTTCTCAACGTGAAAAAACAATATTTTCTGCCTTTTAAGAAGCAACAATAACATGGCTTCAATACGGACGCACTGGCGACATCTAATTAAACAATCGTAAAATAGTTTCGAAACACAATTCAGATTTCTGCTTCTTCTTAAAAGGCAGAAAATATTGATTTTTCACGTTGAGAATCCCTATGAATAGCTCTTCTGACAAGACCTATTAGGTCGAAATACGTATCAAGAGATACATAGGATTTGTTTGCGTGAAATCAAATATTTGCTGCCTTTTCTCATTTTATTCGGATTTACTCTGTGTGAGTACTAGAAGCACAATTCGCTAAGGATTTCTGCTTAGTTGTAAAAGACATGTCGTGGAATGCAAATTTTAGATTCCCCATGTCTCTTTTAACATCTTTTATCAACGTCTGTTTGCCTTGCAATTCTTAGAGAGGCTCAGATTATAAAGCAGAAATCTGAATTGTGTTTCGAACTATTTTACGATTGTTCAAATAATATTTCTAAGAAGAGTGAATGAAGTTACAAAAGTCGATAGGCTGAGAAATGAAGACGTAAGAAAAAAACTGTTCTCTACAGTAGGGCAAAGTGAGATACAATCATTTATCTATATAATATTATAGTTAAAATAGAACCTGTGCTTCCAAAGGAAATGAACCGTGTCAACATTTGCGAATACCCATTACATATTAATAAACAAAATGATATTTTTATGCTTATATCTTTTGAAATATTCAAATTATTTATTTTGTTTATGGCAACATTAATTTCAGATATAAAACAACGTCGTAAAATTTAAACTGCCTTCATTCCATGAAACGGATATAAAGTTTATTGTTGATTTGATTACCCACTGTGAATATCATTTTAATATTTATTAAAAAAGTTAGAAAACTTTGATTAACAAGCTCATAATTCATCTAAATGATTAGGAATTGTTAAATGTATACTATATTAATTAATTTGCCACTAAAATATGGAAATATGGGAAAGAAGACATATTTTCGAGTTCACAAAAAGGGAACAAACGATACAGCCTTCAATCACAATAGACTGAGCATTAAACTGAAAAAAACTAAATTTATAATTATTAACACTCAATCAGGGGCGCGTCTTAGACTTACGCCATTGGTCGCGCGTATAAATTTTATCTAATCTCTGGCGAGCTGTTCGATTTTTTCTAGCAAACATTTTTATGAAACATAGTAAGTAATACGTTCAAATATCTCTTATTACAGAAAAATTATAACATAAAATGTACTCATGAAACTAATAAAATTGATAAACAATAATTGTTTTACATTTTCCATTAGTTTAATTTTCCTCACAGGTTTTACATCTTAAATAAATAAACACGTCGATCACATTTATTCTTATGAAGGTATTTTCTTGTGGAATCTTAAAGTAATTAAAATTATATAAGAAAAAAGAAAGGGCCAAAGTCACTTTCACTTTATTTTGCAGTAGATTATAATTCTTATTTCAGATTCATTCTTATCCTATTGATATCGCGATTACAAAAAGTTTTCTCATTCTGTTAAAAGTTGACCATGCAATTTCAATGTGGCATCTTATTTCTTTTGTCTGAGCAGTATCTTCTGTGATCCGTGCTCCAAGGTATTTGTACGAAGATATTTGTTCAATTTCTGTATTATCTAGTACTAGCTTAACTTTGATGTTTTATGCTTTTGTAAATACCATGAACTTCGTTTCCTTCAAATTTATTTTTAGTCCATAATCGTTGCAATATACTTATATTTAGTTGTTCAGCAAGGTGTTGCAGTTCTTCTAGTGTTCCTGCTAGAAGGACGGTATCGTCAGCATATCTTATGTTATTAAGTGGCTCACCGTTTATTATAAGGCCCTCACTGATCTCGGCAAGCGATAATTCTGAGATGGCTTCACTGTATAAATTGAATAACAAGTGTGATAAAATACACCCTTGGCGGACCCCAAGGCGAATCTGGATACCCTCGGTCAGTTAATTTTCAACTTTCACTTTTGCTGTTTGGTTCCAATAGAGGTTACATATGATTCAAATGTCTCTACTGTATATGTTTTTATTTAATAAAATTTCTTTAAGCTGATTATGCTGCACTCTGTCAAATACCTTCTCAAAATCAATGAAACAGGCATATACTTCCTGATTAATATCTAAGCATCTCTGCGAAAGAACACTTACTGCAAACAGTGTATCTCATGTTCCCAGTCCTTTCCCTGGTCTTCCACAAGCCTACGCCACAAACCCTGTTCTTGGACTCCTCTATATATTTTCCTTAGAATTTTTCTCTCGAAACGTTTCAGCAATTCTTTGGACTGTGGACAGATTCTGTGGACCTAGCAATAATCTCTATGCCATCTGCATATCCGATAAACGTCATTATCTCTTCTAAATTAGTAGGTAAACAATCTCGAGGACGGGTGTATGAGGAACGCAATCCATTAAGTTTTTAGTTTATAAAAGTAACAATATTTTGAAGATACAGCGCGATAACCCTTTCTCCCGCTTTTCCAAGATAGCGGCCGGAGGACAAGGATGGCTGCCTCACATAGCTTATTTTTATCCCCTCAACACATAAAAAAAAATGCAAAATGTGTCCTCTCAAAAATGCAACCTTAATCTAACTTTTCAATAGTTAACTTGATTATGGGTAATAATGATCAAAGTTTGATTTGATTCAGTTGCAAAAAATTACAAAAAAATCAAGTTTTGGGTTTTAATTTAAGTTATGTTCTACTTACCAAAAGTATTATCTTTTATAACGTTAGGAAATATCATCAAGAAAGAGACAACTTCAAATCAACTGTCATCAGTTTATATTAGACAAATTTACCTTTCTTGTGGCTGTAATTTCGTATTAGATTTTGTTGCATCCCATACTTAATACTTCTCCCTACGCCCCTGTTAACTTCAATATTGAATTACATATATTACATTAAAAAAATATAAACATCACTTTTTTGGTTCACAAATAATATCAAAGAATTTAAAATATGGATGTAGTTTTAAATATAAAATATACACTGTATTGCCATCTATGCGATTTACATTAACCTACTTTGATTCAATTACAGTTTCCTACTATATATTATAACATGAAGACGAAGACGTCTCTGTCAAATATATGTATTTCAAAATAGTATCAATTTTTCTGGATTTGGATTGTTAAATTTTTTATTTAAAAGTGAGGTTATACAACCGATTTATCAAATAAAACTCAAAATGTTTGTATTAAGAACTTTAAAAACGTTTTCATTAATAGTTAGTAAGCCAATATGTCTTCAAACGACGAGTAGAACACTTAGTAGTTTACCGAATATAGTAAATAAAAGTTTACTCCAAACACACAAGTTCGTCCAGCTTCAAACAACCAGAAATTATGCGAAGGGAAAAGACAAGAAAAAAGAAAAAGGTAAATCATCGTCAACTTTATCGAATTTTATTCATTACATTGCTGTTTTAGTTAAAGGAAAAGTGGTTATCAACGAAAACCAACTTACAGAACTTCTGAACGTAGAATCAATGAAAAAACAAATGGAAAAGCCTTTAGTTCAATTGAAGGAAGATTTTATTAATCACTTATCGCTCCGATCAACCACAGGTTAGTCTACAAACGATGTTCCACTTATAGATCAAGTATTATTTTTGGATTTCTAGGTTCAATTGAAATGATCACTGTATCACTCGAAGGAAAAGAACACACCCTTCAAGAAATTGCTCAAATCGTTCGTAAAAACCCCAAAACCATTGTTATAAATATGTCGATGTTCCCACAAGCTATTCCAGCGGCTCTAAAGGCTTTAGACAAATCTGGAATGAATTTAAATCCACAACAGGATGGTACTACTTTGTATATTCCCATTCCGAAGTAAGCATTTAATGATAGTAACAGAATTAAATGCAAATGATTTTGTATTTATGAACATATTGTGTAAAGAATTGTTTCTAAGAAATATTGACTGACAACCGCTCTTTCACCACATTTATATATAGGTTGACAATTATTTATTTCATTTTAGGACCATTCATTCGTTAAATCAGTTGTCTCTTGTGATGTATACTGATTTCTTCCATTAGACATACAGTTTTCCATTATATATTTTTTAGATCACGCAACCAAAAACACATTTGAATTCATTTTTGACTTTTATAATGATTCTATTGTGCCATTTTTGGCTATCAGGAAGATATGTATGGATTTCAACTATTCAATAAATTTTTTAGGTGATTTGTGTCAGTTTTATGCCATTTCTGATTTATTATGAGATTTATGCTTTCTTCTTCCATTAGATACAGTTTTTAATTATAATTTTTTTAAATAATACATCAAATTTTTGACTCTTATAGTGATGGATGATGCCATTTTTGGATTACATGAAGAAATTATGGAATTTCAACTATCTAATTAATTTGTGACATGTTTGTGTCAGTTTTATACTATGTGTTATTTATTACAAGAGATAAAAACAGCATTTTTGACCATCTTAGATAATTTTTTTTTACTTATCTCAATGAATAAACCTCACCTTTTTGTAGGGTCACAAAGGAACACAGGGAGGGCTTGGCGAAGAGTGCCAAGCAGTTTTTCGTGAAATGTAAAGATGGTATAAGGGATGTTCAGACGAAATACATCAAGCAAATCAAAAGAAATGATACTGTATCACAAGATCTTTGTAGGAGTGCTGAAAGCCAGATAATTGCTATTGCTGATGGATATATAAGTCAGGGTGAGAAAATATTTGAAAGTAAACAGCAAGAACTTATTGGAAAGGAATAATACTGATAGATGTAAGCATCCTGGAATGTTGTTATTTGGAGAATATTCAGAATGGTGCAACTCAATAAGTTTTAAATGATTTTTTACTAATGTGTAAATATATTTTGTTATTAAATTTTTTCAATGTTGTTGATTTCTTAATAAAAAAATTATAATTGGCTAAAAACACGACCTTAAGAATAATAATAGTCTACTTTTATAACAGTAGTGCTGTTTGGGAGTATACCATGATAGTCTGCATGGTATGTCTTGGTCTACATGTAGAGTATACAAGATATGTAAAGTCAAAACCCTGTAAGTATGGCTGGTTTAATACCAATTAAGAACATGTTTAACTTTGTGAAAATATTTTGTCTTCCTATCCTGGTGTGTCCATAGTTCCTACAGAAACTGGGTCACTGAAACCCTTGTCCCACACACATTTTAAGTGATGTTACTCCTCTTCTGAGTTCTTTTCCCTCAATAAGTAAGGAAATTCTTTTTTTCAACAATTTTAAAGGTATTATTAAGTATTTTTCCAAATAGATCAACATTTAGTTAGTTATTTGAGAAGAAAAATAGCTATAATTAAATTTATTAAACAAAATATTCCTAAATATTCTACAGTGTCTGCTTCAGTGTGTTCTGCACATACATGGACAGCCACAATAAGACTTCTTTACAAAATCCCTTGTCCTAATCAACATAATTAACTGCTGGCTTTGATTTCATATGTAATTCTTAGCCACTACAGGAACTGAAGCTCTTGTCCCAAAGACTTTTCTAAGGCATCTATAGGAGTGTCCTCAATTGCAATTCCCCTCATTTGTGTTCTTCACTTCCAAGTGACAACTTTTTGTTTTGCCTGTTAACCCAACAGAGAATTTGTTTGAAGAATTTTAATAATTAATTATGTTTTTCAAATATACTGTGGTTTGTTGGTCAACTTTTGATAAAATCTTTATACAACAAAAAATGTCAAGAACTTTTTGATGTTTTCTCGTAAATAATTTGTAGTTTATCCCAAACTTTTATGCAGTTTCCAATGAGATAATCTTGTTACTATAAAGCGTTGAGCCTTAACATCCCATTTTACTCAAAATCTGAAAAAATCAGCATTTTTGGTAAAAAAACATCCACTGTTGTTTTATCTTTTCCATTAAACTGCTGATTTTGATTACTAATCTAGTTCTTGTATTTTGTGTTGTCCAAACTTGCTGTACACTGTACGGACTGGGTGCTACAAAAATCCCTGTTATTATTGTCCTACACATATAGAAATCGCCTTATATTTTTTTACAAAATAGTCCCACTCAATTTAAAGTATTAACAGCTTGCTTTAATGCTTTATCTAATTTTTAAATTATATGGTACATCTGGCAATTACAGAAGCCAGGATTCTTATTTTCCCTCAAAGTATATACAGCAGCATATTTAGCTGCAACACATCATCTATGATCTTTCACCTTCAATAATCGACATGTACAGGAAAATTTCTTTTTCGTCAAGGACTTTCAGGTTAGTTTACAAGGTTTTACTGTCTTTTGCAAGTTATTTGGGAGGAAAAATATGTAAGACGAAATTTATGAAGCAAATATTAAATTTATTAATCAAAATATTATTAAAAGCTTAAAAAATACAGTATGGATATAACAAACAATGCTCTGCCGTGACTGCCCCAGTTTGTTTTATACTAACAGAGACAGCCACGGCAAGATTTCTTTCCAAAATCCCCTCTCCTGATCAATAGCATCAATGGGTGGCTTTGATGCTTTATCTAATCCTTCTATTCTGTGGTATCCATGGCCACAGCAGGGACTGGGTCCCTGGGACCTTCGTCCCCCGCATCATCTCTCAATGGATCTGCAGGAGCATCCTCAATGGCAGCAGCTGCACTTCCTCCTCCTCTGCGTTCTTCACCCTCAATCAGGGACAAGAAGGGGGAAGTTTCTTCCTCTTCGAGGATTTTGAAGTTCTGACCTTTGCCAACATAGCCTATGGAGACGTTTTTGGTTGTGAGGTCAACCTTAAACAAAATTTAATACTGGTTATTGACTGTATATTGATAATTATAATTGTTGTATAAAAATATTAAATGAAACATTGTATTTTCATAAAATAGAAGTTGGCATGTAATAATAATGTCCATTTGAAAAGTAGATGCAATTAATTATAGGTTTATATGTTACATATTGCACAAAGCTTTATAAATATTCTTACCTCAGGAGGTAGAGTATCTCTAAGAGCCCTCAAACCATGTTTGATAAGTTCTTCTAAAGAACTGGATGGCAGTTCATCTAGATGTTTTTCCAAGTAAGTCCTTGCACTCTGGGAGCGTGCTCCAATGGACATAGCTTTGCAATCGTAGAAATTAGCAGAAGGGCACGTTTGGTAGATATGAGAACCAGATTCGTCATAACCAGCTACTAGAAGACCCACACCGAATGGCCTGCGGTCATATCTTTGTGTACATGTTTGCATTTTGTTGCCTAAAAAACACAACATTAGCTTCAAATAATAGTTTATCTTGTAACATTCTTACCTAAAATACTAATAAGCCTATTTAACGGCATATAAGTATCCAAAGAGTACTTATAATTCAAGCATTCGTTTCGCATATATCTACTAAGAATTCTAGCATCTGCTGTAAGTCCCGAGATGGTAATACCAATGTGATCGTCTATATTGATAATTTTCTTTTGGTAGGCAGACAATTCTGAAGAAGCCCTCTTCAACGCAATAAGTACAGCATGAGTTTTACTTTTTAGTCCAACTGTGGCTGAACCTAGGTTAACTGCTTCCATGGCATATTCTACCTGATGCAGACGACCCTGGGGGCTCCACACTGTCACATCGCTGTCGTATTGGTTTCGAAACATCTTTTTTTAATAACTAATTCAGTTTAATTGTTCGAAATTTGTTTTACTTTATGAACTTGCAGCCGACAACCTCAAAAATCGTTTGTAATGCTATGTCGAGTGTCAAAATATATGACATGACATTGTGAAAAGTGACAATTTACAGAGTATGAATTTTTGTACAATTTTTCGATAAAATATAGTTGTTTTTAAAAATAGTAATGTATAATTAAACGTTAATATGATTACAAATTAATATTACTTTTTGATTATATTTATATACTATATTCATATATCGATCTTATTTATTTTATTAGATAAGTAATTTTGAAGTGCAACTTTTATTTAATAGATGGAGATACGATCGAGTTTTACGCCATTTTAAAGTGTTAAATTTTCGTATTTTTTAAAAACTAATAATAAAACTAATTAATAATAAAACACTAAAAATAACAGATTATATTTATTACTATATCATAAGATTACATTTGCTTTTTGTATCTAATTTCTCTTTGAGACAATTTTAACTACAATGTAATTATACGGTTCAAAATTAATCTTTAACAGATGAATTCTCATTGTCGACTTCTGGAATGGTGTCTAAAACATTATTTCTAAAATTGTATTCTTCGGGATCTTCAGGGATAATGTTAAATTGTAATCCTTCTTCTTCTTGCTCTATCATTTCAGACATGTACAATTCTAATGGGTCCTTATAAGCTTCGAGCTCGGCTATTTCCGAAAGCTGGCTTATGCTTAGCTAAAATTAAATAATGTTTGTTAAACTATATTTAACGGAAAAACTTTTTTATTGCACTGTCACAGAATAATAAACAATTGTTTATTACTGTCACAGAATAATAAATAATTGTTTATTATTCTGTGGCACTGTCATGTAATAAATATTTAACGCATGTCATTTGTCATTCTAAGACAACGTTTTGTGATTATGAGAAACATAAACATTAAAACTATCATATTTATTCCTTTTTTTGTGAGATTATAAACTAAATACTCTGATTTGTTAATTTTTAATAAATATCTAAAATTTAAATTTTTAAAGAATTTAAATTCTTTACCGCATCAGCTTCATCTACGATTATTCCAACTCTCTGTTTAGTTCCAGATACATCACTTTTGCGTGGATATCTGTGTATTGTACTTAAGAATAATGTATCTTCACCAATGGCATGATTTTCTACTTGCGTCAGTATATCTGCTACAACTTCTGCTGCTATTTCTTCGGGGTTTATTTCGGAGTGAGCTGTAAAATTTTAAATCAAAATGTTTTTTGTAATTTTCCCAGTAAATGTTCAACATCTTCAACTCTAGAACATAAATTACTAACCTGGTTTTGGTAGATTTTCAAATTTGGAGTAAATCGTATCGTGTATTGTCTTCAAATTTTGTTTTTGTTGCTTCGTGATTTTTTCTCGTACAAGTTTTTTGTTTACATCTGGTAGAACGAAATGGAGGATCATATTGGCTATGACTTCGTCTTCTTCGTCAACAGATAACAGCCTAAAATTCAGTAATTATTCAATTATATGTGGCGTATGTAAAATGTTAAATTTGTTAGATGACCTGCCCAGTAAAATCAGAAAGACTCTATGCGGTGACTTGACTATTAATTACGCTGTTGCTTGTGCTACCCAATTATCCTCTTGGTCAATATATTCAAATCTTATGATTTCACAATGCACGTTAAATCTCCTACAAGAATTATTAAAACAACATTTACCATAATCGATTATATTGTCTCAGATTTTTCACCCATCGATGTACGTTCTACAATTATTAATGCAGGACTCTCTGGCCATAAAGCAGTATACTATACCACGTTTAACACTCTTAACAAACAATCCTCGAAAACCCAACGTTTAGGTAGGATTTTTTCGTACTTTCGTAAACTTTCGTATATATATATATATATATATATATATATTATATATATATATATATATATATATATATATATATATATAATCGAAAACCTCTCTACCCTAAGGTGTGAGGTAAATACAATACAATACAATTACAGGTTACAGATATACATTACATCTCAAATCCAATGAAAATATTTATTCTATTAAATTTATTCTATTCTGTGCACGAATTTTGTCATTCTTTCTTGTTTTTTGCCTTATTTTGAGCTTCTGACCATTCCAATCCCCTACTTTTCAAAATCTGCCCTACTTCGTCATCCCAGGTTTTCCGTGGTCTGCCTCTAATTTTAAACCTTTTCACTTTAGCCTTCCAGACTTGCTTAACGGGTCGGTTGTCGCTCATTCTGCACAAATGACCAAACCATTTTATTTGTTGTGTTTCAATAGCATGTAGTACTGCATTCTGTACCCAGTTCTTCTCTAACATCTTCATTTCTTATTTTGTCTCGTCGTGTTATTCCTTTGACTCGTCTTAGATATTTCATATCAATGGCTTGTATCTTGCTTTTTAATTGCTTTGTTAAAACCCAGCTCTCGCTTCCATATATCAAGATTGGTCGGAATACTGTCTTATAAACTGTCATTTTGGTTCTTCTGCTGATTTCCGGTTTACCTATGAATGCTCTACTAAGATTATGGTACACTTTTGAAGCACTACTGATTCTTTCTGTTATTTCATTCTGCATGGTACCTTCTCTGTCTATTGTAACCCCTAGGTATTTGAATGCATCTACTTGTTCTATGAGTTGTTGGTTAATTTCTATGTTAACATTTCGGTTAGTTTTCGCTATTAGCATCACCTTGGTTTTCTTAACATTAATCTTCATGTTTCTGATTGCCAGCTCATTGTTCCAGGTATCTATATTTTTCTGGAGGTCCCTTTCGTTGGAAGCGCATAACATGAGATCATCTGCGAATGCACACTCAGCTATACCAACCGGTCGTAGTTTACTATATCCGATATGTACTTTGTGTATACTTGCTTTTGTTTCCTTAATTATGTCGTCAATAATCAATATGAATAGTGTGGGGCTCATAACACCTCCTTGTCTTAGACCCTCGTTTATTGCAAACATCTCTGATTCCAAGTTATCCTTACGTACATAACTCTTGTTATTTTGATACAGACTTTTGATAGCACCTGTTAGTTGATGGTCAATATTTCTATTTTGCAGACTTTTCCAGACTGCTTCCTGGGACACTCTGTCAAATGCTTTCTCAATATCTAAAAAGCCATATATATTTCTGTGTTCTTTATTCTCGCTTTCTCAATTATTTGTTTTAACGTAAATATATGGTCTTGCGTACTGTGTCCCTTCCTAAACCCACTTTGTACTTCATCCAGATGTGGTTCAACGATGTGTCTTAATTTCTTTTCTAGGATGATTTCATATATTTTGGAGATGATACTAAGTAGATTAATTCCTCTATAATTTTCACAAGAACTTGGGTCTCCTTTCTTAAAGATTGGTAGTATTATGCCAATTCTCCAATCTTCGGGGACTGTACATCGGTTCCAAGCCATGTTCATAATTTTGGTTAAAAATTCAACTCTCGGTTCAACTCGAAGAACTTTCGGTCCCATTGACTTTAACATTTCTGCAGTGATTTTGTCATGACCAGCCGATTTACCTCCCTTTGTGTTGTTAATTGCTTCTTTAACTTCTTCTATTTGAATATAGTTTTCTTGCCCATGTTCTCCTTCTACTTCTATCATTACAGTTTCCTCTTTCGGCTGTCTTGATGTTAGGAGTTCGCTGAAGTATTGTCTCCATCTTTCCATAATCTCATTTGGTCTGGTAATTAGTGTGCCGTCTTTACGTTTCACCTGTTTCATCGTTGTTTCTTTACCTTTTCTTAGCGTCTTTAGTGCCTTGTAAAACAATTTTTGGTTACCCCGGCTATCTGCCTCCATCTTCATTCCAAACTCATCCCAGGCTTCCTTCTTCTTCTTCAGCACCATTTCTTTCACCACCTTTCTTTGTCGTTTATATTCTTCGTAACTACTTTCTGTTCTCTTGTTTAAATATATTTTCCATTTCTGTTTTTTATATTTTATTTGGGCTTTTAATTCATCGTCCCACCATCGTGTTTGCTTCTTATTTCTGTTTACATGGTTTATTCCAGTAAGGAAGGTAAGTTGTCAGTACTATGTGCATTAGTTAATTTGGCTAGTTTTTCTTCTATTTTACTTTTGAACATGGCCGCGACTTTTTGATCATTTAGTTAATAGTTTTGGATATTCTCGTTCACTTTATTATTTTTTGTTCTTTGTTGAGTGGTTTTAGGGGTTTTTTGGGGTAATCTTATCTTTGCCATTACCAGATAGTGGTCACTATAGATTTTCGGGCCTCTTTTAACTCTGACATCAGTGACCTCTTTTCTAAATTCTCTATTAATAAGAACATAATCTAGAATTGATTTTTCATTTCTGCTCCTGACTTCTCTCGTAAACTTGTGTATATCTTTGTGTTCAAAAAATGTGTTGGTGATAATCAAATTATTCTACATGCAAAAGTCTATCATCCTTCTTCCATTATCGTTTCTTGTATCTTCCCCCTGCATACCCATAATATCCATGTTATCATCGTCTCTTTTACCAACTCTGCTATTCATATCGCCTAGAATGACTATTCTACCTTTCACATTTTCTATGGCATCATTGAGCTCTTCGCAATATTCTTCTTTAACTTTTAATGGTTCGTCATCATTCGGGCCATATGTGACTAATATAGTTGTTATTTCTTATTTATCTAGTGTTATCTCTATCTTTAAATTTATTTGTGATATACATTTCCAATTTTTAACATATGACATATAGCTTGCTCTCATTAGGCATCCTACACCTTCTGCCGCTCTACTATCGATACTGACTCCGCTGTACAAAAATACATGTTCTTTATCCAATTCATCCATTCCTTGACCTTTCTTTTTAGTTTCCGTGATCGCCAAAAAATCTAATTGTGCTTTGTCAAATTCATCTATTAATTCTCTCTCTTTTCCATTAAGGCTTCTGACGTTCCACGTAGCCATTTTTATGTACTTTTTTAGTCTGTTTGCCCCTTGATCTTGTATTATATTTTCTTTTTTGTCCAATTCAATTATATCGTTAGTCCTTATTCTCGCCTTGTTTGGTATTCCATGTTGATCAGTTCTATTTGGCCGATGGTCTGCTATTTCTTCCTGGCTTTGTTGAGAGCCTTCATCTCCCTGTTCCACGTCCATACTTCTCCATTTATTATAAGTTTTTGAAACCCCATTTGGACTGTATTCCCTTTACTCTTTTCTTTCTTAGCTTTAGCTCTAATTTGTTTTTGAATATTTCTCTGCTGTTCGCTCATATCATCATTTATATATACTTTGTGTTCTCTATTATTTCTTAGTTTGGCTTTATTGTTTATAAGTGTGTATTTTTGGTTACTATCTTTTAGTTCTAATAAACAGGTCTTTTCTCCTATTTTAATTGCCCTTTCTATTTCAATCTCAATGTTCAGGTGCGTACTTATAAATCTTTGCATATTGCTCTTCACTGTTTCTACGTTATTTGTTTCTATTGGTAGTCCCTGAATTACTACATTATTTCTTCTTTTTTCGTTCTCAAGTCTTTCAATTCTGTCCATTGCTTGTATAAGATCTTTCTGGATCTCTTGATTTTCTTTCTGATTTGCGTATTTTCCTTTCTCAAATCTTGAATTTCTGTTAGACATTTTTTTTGTTCTTGTTTTATTTCTGAAGGAAATGAAGGAAAGGATTTTATTTCAAACTTTCGTATAACTTTCGTAAATTCCAAAATTTGTGTTTGACTTTCGAGTGGCATTTTCAGTATGTAGATGTGAACTATAATTTCAGTGATTTTATAAAAAGGCTTGTCTGTATTTTCAATAAGCCTTTTCCTTTAAGTACACTTAAGTCAAAACTTCACAAATCCTGGACTACCAAAGATATCCGCATAACAGCTAAGAATATGCGTTCACTACATTACATCAAGAAATTTACTACCAACGTCTTTGTTGCTGAATATATCTCGAAGTACAGAGGAACCTATCTAAAACTTATTAAAACTGATAAAAAATGTACTAAGCGAATCATCTGGAAAGCTCTACAAATGTTGCAAGGGAAACTTGGTCAATAATAAACGATCTTCTAAACTAAACACAGCTCAAACATTTTCTCTTCCAAATCCCGAAAATCTAAATAAATACTTCGCTAATGTGAGTAAAAATATACAAACAAACAATCTTCGAAAACCCAACGTTTAGGTAGGATTTTTTCGTATCAGAACTTTCGTAAATTCCAAAATGTGTGCTTGATTTCTGGCGCAACAAAAATGTGAAAGAACTGTTAACTATTCTTTTTGATGCAAACTGGCAAAACATTGAAAGCCTTCTTTGGTACAAGAACATTATTGTTGCTCCAAATGTAGATGGACATGAAGAAGAGGAGGAAGTTGTTTGTGACTATTTAGAAGAAGACTGTGCCCATCACTTGTAATACCTAGGCTATTATCTAAAGGTTTCACTCTATATGTTTCACTATAACATAAGGTTTCACTGTAATATTGTGAAAAAGGGTAACTATTTTATTATAATAAATAAAATTTTATTTTTCATATTGTGAAGAACATATTTTTTACTTTGCTTACTAGTTTGTCCAATACTGAGTCCAACTCTACACTAAAATAAATAATCTTATGCTAAACTATAGTAAATTGATTTGATCAAAACACCACATATCCAAACCTGTTATGTTCATAACCCCACATGTGACATGTGTTTCATGCATAACCCCACATCTAACAACTTTTATATTATACTTTTAATTTGTTATACCACTTTCTACAAAAGTAAATAGTTTTTTTAGCTCATAAACCAATACTGAACTATAACTTTCACTTACATAAAATATGTTTTGGTGAAATAATGTAAATGAATCGATTTTTTTACTCTCCTGAAAAAATAGTAAAATGTGGAAAATTACCTCCTCATTCCTTTAGCATAGTAGAAAGAACCTAATCAAATTTAGAGTCATCGCCGAGAGAAAAGGAAAAAAAATACTCTTAAAGCTATACTCACTCCTCATAGGCATCTTCCGTTTCTTTTTCGATTTGTCGCGCCAATTTCAAAACATATTCAGTACCAGCTTCGTTCGAAACGAACTCCATACCTTCCGTAATGATATCTTTTAAATACACATCGACGCTTTCTTGGGTAACCTTGACGATTTGCTTGAACATCTCATCGTGTTCTCTTCTCCTCCTTAATTCCTTCTGTCTTCTTCCAGCCTCGATAGCTTCACGAACGTATCGTTCTCGTTCATTCAAGAGGCACATAGCGTGTGCCTTGCGTTCTTCCAGCAATCTTCGTAGTTCTTTGTTTAGGAAGTCTAGTAAAGATCCCACTACGACCCCTTGAAGTTTTCCTAATGAACCTTGCAATTTTTCTACCTAAAAGTGAAGAAAATAATATGTATCAGTTTTTTCTGATACACACAAACCCATATATTTATTCCATGTAGCTTAGGTCTTATTATATTCAGTAATGGTGTACCAGCTGATCTTGAGAACGTTTAAGCGATTTGAAAGTGACCAGTAACAGATAAACACGAAATTATAAGTTTTGGTGGTCTAAGCAAAAATTACCAACATTTGGTCAAAGGATTTGCTTATATCGATAAACTGGCAAAGCTACCCAAAGAGGAAAAATAATATACATAGGGAATTATAGGTGTCAAAAAGCTTTTGAAGAGGCACCAATATTGAAGTCTTCGGGGACAAAAGAACAATTCGTTCTTATATTGAAGATGTATAAGAAAAAAATCATAGTTTACTTCAGCAAAGTCTTCCCAAAACCTAAAAGAAACTACTGCATTTCCAGAAGAGAACTTATAGGTATACTGAAGATCTGTGAATATTTTTACAAATACCTGTATCGTCTTAATTTTTTTTAATTGATCATATAGCTCTCAAGTGGTTTCTACAATTCAGTAATGTAAAAGGTCACATGACAATTTAATAAGATAGAGTGATTACAAGAATACGATTGTGAGATCGTACAAGAATACAGGGAAGAAAAAAAATTATTTAAATACCATTGTCCTTTTGAGCAAGCCGCGGACCGCTATATTGTTTGCAAAAACCTTACCATTCTCATTTGTATCAATTCGTCTCGCTGTTGTGCTTTCACTCGGTATTTTTCTTTTCTCTTCTGTTCTTTCTGTTTTTTCAATAGTCCCTTGGAATGTTTTAATTCTTGAATTAGCTCTCTGCAGGTGTCTCTTCCTTCATAAATCTAAAAATAAATGCGAGATTTGAATGGTTTCCTAATGTCAAATTACAAAAAAAACTATGTCTTAAAAAATAATATAATGTACTTTTTTTTAATTAACGTGCATTTGCACGAGATAAGATTTACATGGTAATATCATATAAATCGAAGAAATAATTCAAGAAATTCAAGATTTTGAAAAGGCATTTGACCGCGTTCAGCATACCAGACTAATTACCGCCTTGCAGAGCATCCAACTAGATGAGAAAGACATCAAACTTATTGCCAAACTTTACTGGAACCAAACAGCCAATATTAATACCAACAACAGAGAATCAAAGCCAATCAGTATTGAACGAGGCGTAAGACAAGGCTGTATACTATCTCCCACCCTCTTTAACGTGTATTCTGAGAATCTATTTAGGGAAGCTTTAAAAGATCAAAAAGGAATTATCATAGGAGGAGAAATAATTAACAATATACGGTACGCCGACGATACTGTGATTCTAGCTGAAAACATCGACGATCTGCAGGAGCTAATCAATAGAGTTGACATGGAATGCACAAATTGGGGACTGTCGATAAATATCGATAAAACTAAATACATGTGACCAGTAAAGTGGATATCGGCGCAACCCAACTGATAATAAACCAAAAACCGCTGCAGAGAGTTCAAAGATTCAAATACCTTGGATGTTGGATTACCCAAAATCTAGATCCATCCTTCGAAATTCGATGTAAAATTGAAGAGGCAAGAAACTCATTTCAAAAATTCAAGCCACTATTATACAATAATTCATTAAATTTGAAAATCCGTGAAAAGTTTACAAGATGTTACATGTGGTCTGTACTTTTGTATGGATGTGAAACTTGGACTTTAAACGCCGATATCATGAATAAAATCGAGGCGTTTGAGATGTGGTTGTATTGAAGGATACTAAAAATTCCATGGACTAGCAGAACCAGAAACGAAGAAGTTCTTCGAAGAATGGGACATCAACGAACTCTATTAAATATTATTAAGAGGCGTAAACTAGAATATCTTGGACATATAATCAGACTACCAAGATATGAGTTCCTTCGGCTAATTCTCAACGGTAAAATCGAAGGAAAGAAATGGATAGGACGGTTGAGGAATTTGCGGCAGTGGACAGGTTTGACAGCGGACCAATTGCTACACGTAGCCCAAGACCGAGATCAGTATGATAATATTGGCGACGTGCAAGTACTTGGAGGGGATACGAGAAACGATCGTGCGCGAGTAGCGGAGAAATCTTGCAATTTTTAATGCACATTTCATAGATTTCATAAATTCATATTGTTAATTGTCATATTTCATATTCGTTTGTTTATTTACACCTTCTGTCACTGAAGAAAATGGGATTTAGGAAATGCTGTGTTATAAATTGTAAAAATACAACAAACAATTGTCAATTTTAGTCAGTTTTAGTCAAGTTTTATTCGTTTCCAACTTCGAAGCACAAAGCTACTACAAAGAAAAAAGTGGATTTATATCATAAAAAAGCATAAGTAACATAACCTAAATTATGCATTATTCTTGCGCCCAATTTTAAAGTCAGTTTGAAAATAATAAATAAAGTTCACTTTTAAGTGTAAATTTTAGTTCCATAACACTCACTTGAGAGTTCATTTTAATCCAAAAATCAAGTTTAATGTTTAAATTTTATTTTTTTGAAGTTTACAAAAATGCATCAAGTTCAAGTATTTCTGAAGATGCATTAAGATATATTCCCTGTCCAAAAGTTTACAGGGAAAGAATTAATTGTTCAAACCAATACGATGATATTATGGGCTTAACCTGCTAATTTATGCATTAGCATTATTTATGGTAAATTTTTTTTCTTAATTCTTCCACATAATTCTTCCATTCTTTTTCGACATTTGCCACTACTAAAGCTTTTCCCTTTGACTCAGTGCTTGGTTGAAAAGTTATTTGGTGATTTACTTTCTCAAATCCAGTTTTTATTATTGCACCCATTAACAGTAATGCTGTAATTTAATAATATATATATATATATATATATATATATATATATATATATATATATATATATATATATATTATATATATATATATATATATATATTTGTATTTACATTACATACAACGTTTACCTTTTAATAACATACCGACATAACCTCAATCTTACTTTTTTTTGGGCTACGTCCTTGACAGTTATCCGGTAACCTCGATCTAACATGAAAGCGCAGTAAATTTTGCTGATTTACGACACCAGGTGTCGCTGTCCCGAACTTGCACGGACCCAATTATAAGCATGGTAGTCGCCGACGTTCCGTAGGGATATGGCACTCTAAGAAGAAGAAGATCATATAAATTGCAAAATAATATAGGTAACATTTAACAATGTTACTGTCCTGTTTAGGACCTCTTTGAAGATAGTACTGATATCGAGCTGTTGGCGTATTTGCTGTTGTGTTGGAAGATCGGTTATTGTTATTTATTTGAGTTTTTAGCAATTCACAATATTTGACAATATCGTAAATAGGCCACTAAAAGTTTAGGCGGCTGCCCGAATTCTGGCACTACCTTCTTAAAGTGAACACGGAAATATTACCTGTATAAACGGGTAAGGTAATAGCATTGTTTTTGTGCAGCCAGAAGTGGTACAAAATTAGATTGTTAAAGATTTTAAAAAATTACGGAAGCATGCTGACTTGGCAACAGGAGTAAATTTAAGTGCTGTAAAATGAATCTTCCGTAAAATAAAAGTTATATAAATAAAATTTAGTAAGCACAGAGTTTCTTTGACGCAGTTTCAGTACTTACCATTACCTTACCATTGGTACTTACCAAAATTTGAGCGGCTCTGCCTTTAATAATATTTTGAAGTAGTACTAAAGCTTGATATTTGGATTCTTCGTCCTCGGATACTCCCTCGACTTCTGGAGTATGAGATTCTTCTATAAGCTTATCTAGTTTTGTTCTTAATCGTAAAGTATATTTCTCTATGCCTTTTCTTAGACCTAAAATTAACAAGTATTAAATGGATGTAGATATAGAACAGGGAACCAAGTATCATCAAGTAACAACTGAGAAAATCAACAAAATTGATTGTCATCAGTTAGAATCGATTATTTTGAACAACGGTTATTTTAAGATATTGTAGGTTACGTACAATATTTGAGTATCATCATCATCATCTTTGGCTCGACAATCCTCTGTGGATCTTGGCCTGCTCTAAGATTCGTCGCCATTCTGTTCGGTTTTTTGGCAACATGTTGCCATCTTCTGATTTTTAATATTCGTAAGTCGGTTTCTACTCCATCTAACCACCTAATTCGCGGTCCGGCCTTTGCTTCTTTTTCCTACAGGTGTTCCTGTGGTTAGCTTTTTAGCAATGGTATTTTCTGGCATTCGTATTATGTGTTCCAGCCCATCTAAGTCGCTGTGTTTTTAATGAACGTTATGACATCTGGCTCATCAAAGAGCTGATACAATTCAAAATTATATCTTCTGCGCCACTGCCCTTGGTCGTTTACAGCTCCAAATATTTTGCGGAGTATTTTACGCTCAAATATTCCCAAAAGTCTTTCATCTTTCTGCGTTAATGTCCATGTTTCTGCTCCATATGTGAGGACCGGCCTCAGCAATGTTTTGTATATAATAATTTTAGTTCTTCTTTGAATGTTTCTTGAGTGGAAATGCTTTTGGAGTCCATAGTATGCCCTATTTGTAAGATTTATTCGTCTTTTGATTTCTTCGCTTGTTTTATTGGTAGCAGTCAATAGCGACCCAAGGTATGTGAAGTTGTCAACACGTTCAAAGGTATGACTTCCAAAGACTGTTTCTCGTTCCTCATTTGCTATCGGATCCTTTGTAACCAACATGTACTTGGTTTTGTCTTCGTTGATGACTAGACCGACCTGTTTCGCCGCTGTTTCCAATTCTAGGAGATATTGCTCAACATCTCGCTTGCTACGCCCTATTATGTCAATGTCATCAGCATATGCTAAGACTTGTATCGATCTATTGTAAATAGTACCGCCGTCCCTAATTCGTGTATCTCGGACTGCCTTTTCTAAGGCAATATTAAATAGGAGGCAAGCCAGAGCATCTCCTTGTCTGAGTCCATCCTTTATCTCAAAGGATCTAGAACTCTCTCCCTGTATTCTAACAGTGGCTTCTAAGTTAGACATTGTCCATTCTCGTTAGTCGGATAAGTTTCTCTGGTATACCAAACTCATGCATTGATTGGTATAGCACTGTTCTCTTGACACTGTCGATATGCTGCCTTGAAGTCGACGAATAGGTGATGGGTTTCAATATTGAATTCTAATGTTTTCTCGAGAATCTGTCTTATTGAATGAATCTGGTCAATTGTTGATTTTTCTGGAGTGAATCCAACTTGATATTTACCAACTATGCCCACTGTGTAAACTTGCAACCTTTCGTAGAGAATATTAGTATAGGTAATTTTATACTTTTGTTGTCCGAAAGTAGTTTAAAAAATATCATTCATAAAATAAATATGCTATTTGGTTCCTTTTAAAAAAATTAAATTTCAATATTTTTTATACAATTTTAAAGAGAACCAGTCACTTGGTTCCAGGTATAAATAGGAATATTTTTTTTATAAAGAAACATAAACCATTTCTATTGATAAAGTAGCAACGAGTAGATTTCAGGGAATACAAGAAAATATCAAATCACCAAATAAAACAGCTTTATTTTCCAACAAAGTAATGTGGTTCCTTCCTGGTGAAATTTGCAGACGACATAGTTTGGTTATCGGACAACCTCAAGGGAGACATGTATAATGCTACATAAACTTCAGTTAGTGTGTGCCAGTGTGGATCTTAAAATAAACATCTCCAAAACAAAATTCATGACAAACCTAGTACCTAGCGGAAATATCAATATTGGAGACAACGAAGTAGAGCTGCTGGAAAAATACATATATCTTGGACACGAAATAAAGATCACAAGAGACAACCAAACATGCGAACTACGAAGAAGAATAAACCTAGCATGGGCAGCCTATGGAAATCTCAGACATCTTTAAAAGCGATATACCAATTTCTTTAAAACGTAAAACATGTGACCAATGTGTGTTGCCTGTGATGACCTATGACGCCGAAACTTTGACATTGACAGCTACAAGTTGTAAACTACATTACAAGCTACATTGCAAATAGCTCAGAGGAAAATGGAAAGATCTATGCTGACTAAATCGCTTCGTGACCGAGTTGCTGGTGTTAGATACTTGTTTCTTGGAAGAATTTGGTGTTGAGATGTCCGCTTTGGCAACGTATCTGGCAATACTTCAAACACATGTTTGACTTAGAGATCTCAACCACTCAAAACCGTTCTTACAACGAAATTATCCAATTCTATTAATAAATATTTATTTTTAGAACAGCCATCAAAAAAATTACAAAAACCCTAAAAATCTGGCTCTGCCAAATCTCAACAAGTAGCGCCAACGTAGCCGGAGCGGAGAGTCGAGATCCGAGCAAGCAGTTTCAGTTCGATGATACGTCACTAGATCAAGCAGGAAAAGGTGCCACTCATTAGCCTGCATTGATTGGATTAGGATATTGTGTTGGAGTTCTTGTATCCAGGACTTCGACACGAAAAGCATTTGGCTAATAAAGAGCCCAAATGTCATTCTACGGGTCTGCAAGTATCTCAGAATGTCAGAATGAGTTTAATCAAATTACTTGCTCGTTAATAAATACGTTTTTTACCTACCTTTAAGTTCTTCGTGTAGTTGTTTTAGCACCGGAGCAGTCCATCTGGTTTGTTTAATACACAATTTACGCTTAGGCCAATTGGAATGTAATACCCGTTTGTCTATCTTCGTCGCTTGGTCTAACCATTTGGGTAAAGTGCTAAGATTTTCAACTCCTACAAATAAATAATCAAATTCATTCTATTAAGCTGACTTTTAATAAAAAAACTTACCGATAAATTGAGCCTTATATCTCTTCATATTTTCGTCTATAACTTGATGCCAGCGTTTCGGATGTTCACCGTGTCGCATGAGTGGGGCGTATATTTCTGATTTTTTGTCGACGTGCTCGTCGATTATGTTCACTGCATGGTATTTCCTGTCTATGCCCTTACGCTGAGACTCTAATTTCCTCAATTCTACAAAATACAAAATATACAACATAAAACAGAACAAAAGAAAAAAATTCTACATCAATATAGTAAAATTTTAAAAATATGTTACCCCTTGCAGTTTTTCTTCTGATTTTAACAAGTTGTTCCTGTTTCTCGGCCTCCCTTTGAGCTATATAATTCTTCAATTTAGTCTCGTTTCTAGTTTTGGTTGCGTCATGTAGTTCGTTTAACATATTTTCTAGGAGTTGCAACCTAAGCTCTTGTATTTCGTTTATCTCTTGTTCTCTGCAAAAAATGTAATCATTAAGAACCTCAGCATCCCAAAGCCCCTGATAAATACTGACTTTCTCAGTATATTACATATAATTACACATTTTATAAACGAAACTAAACAACAACTTAATTTCATATAAACTTAATAAATTTTATAAAAACTTACATCGGTCAAACTGGTAGAAACTTTAATAAACGAATAGCAGAACATAAAAGGGCTTTCAATAATGGAAAAAACAGATTCTACATACGCATTTCACCTTCTAGATCATAATCATGCTTTTATTGACAATTTAAAATCTTACATTCAAAATAAATTCCTTAAGCTATCTTTGTTAGAATCTTTGGAATTAACAATTAAAAACACAGATCACTTGAGAAAGGCAATTACCGAAACAGCTATAGTGATAAGAGTGAAAGTGAAGCAAAACAAAGTGTATCTTCAGTGTTAGTGAATACAGTGTCGGTTTCTGATTTTAAATCTTCTTGAAAACTTGTTTGTATTTATCTACATGTTCAAGATATGTAAGTTGAAACACCATTTTCAAAATTATAACCCCCAAAAACATGGCCCAAGTTTTTCGTTAATAACTTTGCGAAAAATGAATGTGAAATAATGATATTTCCATATTCGTTTAGCTGGCAATTTTCACAAATAAAAAAATGTTTTTTTTTTATTTTAAGCTATTTAAATAAAAGTCTTACCTGAAAGCCCACTCGTCCAGCTCTAATGCAGTCATGTAATCTCGAAACTGATTGAGGGAATTTTCATTTCTGATATCTGGTATAATTTCCTTTTCCCACGCAGCTTTCATTCGTGCCCGTTCTATCAACTGGATCTCGTGCATTCCGGCTGGCAAACCACTACCTGTGAAATAACATTATTATTAAACTTAGTAACTAGTATTTTAATATAAACAGGGTGATCTATTTAGACCAGTTTTGAGAGCAATTAATTGTAGAAGAACGTTTGAAAAATGAAAGTGACTTTGTAAAAACTATATATAATTTGTAAGAATTACAATGTTCAAACTTAAAAAAAAGACAAAAGTTAGCTCAATCGAAGGATATTACCCCATAAGAACACAATAGTAATTGACGATGATCCATGAAAACAAATTTTCTTCTATATATTGGGTCATTTGTCATTCAGTTCCCGCTTCAGTTTGTTCAATAATGCACAATAACATTGCTTTTTGATAGTTTTAACTTTAATAGATGATAGTTTTTCAAGATAGCCAATTAAAATTATGTCTTTCTAATCCCAAAATACAGTGGCCTTAACCTTTCCGACTCATTGAGCCATTTTTGGCCGCTTCCAAGCACTTTTGCCGGTTTAAATTTACTGCCGTGAGTTCATTCTGTTCTCTAATGTGTAATAGTGAATCCAGGATTCATCAAAGGTTACCAATTGATGCCAAAAGTCCAACGTACTGCGCTTTATAAAGTCCAATAACTGCTGAGAATTGGTCACACAATCTTGTTTTTGGACAATGTCATCAACGCGCAATACATAACTTACTTTTACTCAACATTAAAATGTCTAAGTCATCGCTATGTGTACCAAGTTAAACGAAAATGTATTTCATAATGATATCTGCCTGTATATCTAAATTCTACATTATTTTTTATTCTTTTTGAATGTGATCGATGGGAACGAAGTACATCAGCTTTAGCTATATCTATTTAGGCATGAAATTAGAATAGGAAAGACAATCAAACTTGTGAGATCCAGCGTCGCATAGGCTTGGGATGGGCAGCATTTGCAAGATGCGAGATATTCTAAAAGGAACGCTACCGATTTGCTTGAAGAAAAAGGTTTACAACCAATGCATACTGCCAGTAATAACATATGGTTCCGAAACAATAACTTTAACCAAACATTCTGCAAATAAATTGAGAGTAACCCAAAGAAAAATGGAAAGAGCAATGTTGGGAATAACTAGAAGAGATATGGTACCAAATAGGATAGTGAGAGAGAGGACTAAAGTGACAGATGTCATAGAAAAAATTGCACAAGCCAAATGGAGATGGGCTGGACATATAGCACGTTTAAATGATAATAGGTGAACCAAAAGACTTATAGAATGGAGACCTGGAGAAGACAAAAGACACCAAGGCAGACCACCAAAAAGATGGATGGACGACTTGAGAAAAACAGTCGGAAATTGGATACAGAAGGCGCAAGATAGAGAACAGTGGAAGAACATGGAGGAGACCTATATCCAACAGTGGATGCAAGAGGTTGAGGAATGATGATGATGATGAGATGCAATTTTGCCAGTTGTCTGTGATAATATTATTTATGTCTTCGTAGCAGAGCATTTTTATATAGATCAATAGGATTGAGCTTATAATGATATGGTGGTAATCGGTGAACAAAAATCCTTTGGTTTTTCAGGTCAATGCCAGGTTCAATTGTTGTCAGTATGAATAAAATTATTAACACAGGATAAATTACTAAACATAGAAGCTCTCGAAATGAATCAAGAGGAATATCAAAATGAACTAAAAAAGAGACTAGGACCTTTACCAGTATTCAACACGAAAGATATAAATAAAATATCACAATTCGAGAAAAACGAAATTGAAACAAACAACACTGGATTTAATGGAAGAAGAAGAAGAACATCGAAAGAATCACCAGAGTATAAGGCTATCAACAATAAAGTTAAAAAAAGTATAAGTCAGACTTGCGAGCCTATCAAACAAAACGAATATTGCAAACCATCGAAAACAATAGAAACATGAAAGTATTGAAATCAAATTTAACTAAAATAAAATCAAAGATAACTAAAATCAAAAACCAACAGGGGAATACGGTGACGGAAAAAACTCAAATAATCAAGGAAATACAAACGTTCTTAGAGAATATGTATACATCTACTATACAGAACCCCGGAACAGACCATAGAACAATTCTAACGTCGGCTCGGAAAACTCTTCCTAAAATAACTTCTTCGGAAATTAGACACGCCTTACAGCAAATAAAAAAGCTCCTGGTGAGGATCGTATAACGTCTGAAATGTTAAAAATGGGCGTTAACATCGTTGTCGAGGTTGTGGAAGTTTTGTTGAATAAGTTTCTGTGGAAAAAAGAACATTATTCTTTTACATATTTCGCATAGCCCAGAGGTAGAAAGCGATGTGATTATATCGTTTTCGTTCACGGCCGCCAAAGTAGGTGGAGCCTCTGCAGAGTATAAATCAATGGAAGCAAATGGAAGATTCCTATGCCCAGAAGTGGGCGAATACAGGCTGAAGAAGAAGATGATGAATGAAAACCAGCTTTCAAATTACTCAGCATCCACGTTCTCGTGATAATCTCCGCCAGGAAGAAAAGCATGGTCACTACTAATACGTGTTATTACTATATGTCAACCTTTACTTGATGGTGCTTTTAGACCTGTAGAGATACCTTCAAGGAACGCTTGTCGACCGTTTGTAATATTTAAATTCTGTTAAACTTTGTTTACAGCATGACCTTCATTTAATCTAAATAAGTCTGATCTAAATAATAGATATTTCTTCTTTCATTATGATATTGACGAACCTTTTTAAGATAATTACGACGCCATATAACAATCTCACTTTTTTCCAATAAACTGCTTTGTAGACATCGTTTCATATATTTAAAATTCAGTAAATGAATTATACGCAGTAGTACCTCTGGCGAGATTTTTGGTAAAGTGGCATCATTGTCGATTTCCGCAATAATTTTCTTTAATGTTGAAATTTCATTCCTAAAGAAAATGAATGAATTTTTTGACGAAAAACCCTTCGTACTTGATCATTTAAGACTATTGGTTTTCTCTCCCTTGTTTCTTTGTGTTCGTTCAGTTTAATGTCTTCAAAACGGCATATGTTCCTCTAGCAAAAACAAAGAAAATTTATAAATATATACAAATTAAATTTTGCCGCTATGTATGTTGCAGTTCAATGCTAAAGAGTCACTTTTTTATTTGCAGATCTTAGTTTAGTTGAATTTGTTTCATATTTGAATTCATTCATTTGATGTTGTTTGCACCACCACCCCAATGTTTACTGACGGTCCACTATAGCGTGATGCCTAATAAGTTTACAATACCTATTTATCTTACATAATAAACTTTCCTTGAAAGTGTGATCTAATGTGCGGATTCCATGTCTAAAATAAATTATGAGATAATATTGCTTTTAAACCAAAAATACATTTCTGTAAAGGTAGTTTCAGTTGGTGGCTAACAACGAAATGTGTGTTCACTGTTTTGGAAGTAAATCGTAAGTTTTTTATACTGTTCTATGAAAATTACTTTTTTGTAAAAATAGGTAATTTAAAAGATAGGAAGATTTCGCACTAGTTTGTACTTAAATTACTCTATAACCTCTATCATGTCTAACATTAAAACATAAATATTCTACAAGATAATAAGCTTTTAGTGTGCAAAATGTCAGTATCGTGGCATGTACAAGCAGAAAATTTTAATATTATTTCAGTTGCAATGGCCAAATTCCCTCCGAAAATATGTTTAACTATTTGTATGTAATAAGCCATACATCCTTAGCTCATTCGTCATTGGTTTGCATTTGCCAATGCTCTGTACATATTTGCCTAACTCTGATAGTAACAGATAAATACTTACCCCATTTTAGAAAATCCAGTTTTAAAAGTTCAGGATCTCCTTTTCCAATAACCTTATACGGAGGTTCCCAAGGATCCGTTTGGGCAGTCGATTCTCTAAACTTAGTCTCCACTTCGACATTTCTCGTTTTCTGATTTTCCCATTTTTTGGTTTTTTTGGCCACTTTCTCTATGGTAAATGTAGGCGAATACTGGTACGGTAGAGCATCTTTCGGCGGAAAATTCATGACAGAAACGAAAAATTTCGACCTATGGAATTATGCTATTTGAAGTGAAATTGAATTAATTGTAAGTGTTGAATTATTTTATAATAAACTTGGTAAAACAGTTTAACAGATATTTATATACTACGATTTATATGGGCTTGGGTACAAGAGAAGCCTTGTTTAGTATACAGGTGCTAGTACAAAGATGCAGAGATATAAATCAAATGTGTACATTTGTGCAATGGATTTTAAAAAGGCTTTTGACAAAGTCCGACATAACAAAATGCTAGAAATATTGGAAACAGCTGGATTGGACGATAAAGATCTATGAATTAATTACAAATCTATACTGGCATCAAGTGGCAAGAATAAAGGTTGAACAAGACTGTCGGATGAAAAATATAAAAAGAGGAGTGAGACAAGGCTGTATATTGTCGCCTTTACTTTTTAACTTATATTCGGAGGAAATATTTAAGGAACCTTAATGAGACAACCGAGGGTATATTGTTAATGGAGTAAACGTCAACATATTAGATATGCGACGATACCTTAGTGCTTGCAATTGGGAAAAGACCTTCAAAATCTAATGAACACAATAAAATAGACTTGTGATCAGTATGATTAAAACTCAACGTTAAGAAAACTAAATATATGATAGTTAGCGAACAAAACTATATACAGGATGACGGTATAAAAGTCGGAGATGCCACACTGGACAGAGTAGAGAAACTCGTGTATCTCGGCAGTAATATCAATGAGAGCTGGGATCCAACCGCAGAAATTAAAAGCCGAATAGAACAAGCCCGAGCTGCCTTTGTAAAAATGAGAAACGTACTTTGCAGTCACGATCTTAGCATTGACCTTAGAGTTCGAATGACGTCTTGCTACATCTTTTCTGTCCTGCTGTATGGAGTGGAAGCGTGGACTCTAGCTGAGGCTATCCTTAAACGCTTGACAGCCTTTGAGATGTGGGTATACGACGACTACTGAAATAAGTGGTCGACAGAGTTAGAAATGAGGAGGTCCTTAGACGGCTGAACCAAACAACACAACTGGTCAATATAATAAAGAAACGCAAGCTGGAATACTTGGGTCTACATTATGAGACACCCTGAAAAATATGATCTTTTACATCTGATCATTCAGGGAAAGATCCAAGGTAATCGTGGTCCTGGTAGAAGAAGAACATCATGGCTGAAAAATCTAAGGCAATGGTATGGAAAATCAACTACATCGTTATTTAGAGCTGCTGTCAATAAAGTCACGATAGCGAATATGGTAGCCAACATGATATCCTACGATCGATAACGGTCATGGAACTAGAAGAAGAAGGAAATTAAAATCATCATCATCATTATCAATGCCTTTTATTCCTGATGAAATGTTTGTCGCTCTTACTTAGAGTTCTTTGATTCGAATATTGAAGTGAATCACTTTGCATTTTCTTTTGTATTGTCAAAATTTGTTGTATTGACAATTTTCTTAACTCGCTTAATCGCAACCCCCGGTCGTAAGTGCCAAACGGCTTAACGTAGGATGACGTACGAGGGCTCGTTGATTGGAACATGCCAAAAGAGCATTACGTCATATCTTCGTTTCTATTGGTCCGATCGTGAAGTACTTGGAACGGAGAGGAGACGGAAAATACGTTGAGACAAACCAAAGACAAAGACATTGGCACTATAACATATCTTCGCTGCTATTGGCCTGATTGTCAAATGTCACGTGATTCACGTCATTTCACGTCAAATGTCACCTTCTGTGTCGAATGTCACGTTCTGTTAGGTACTACACAGAAAAGAAGAAGAACTGACACTTAATATTTGTTGTTAAGTTGACAGAAGCCAAACAGTTAGCTTCTGTGTGTGTGTGCCACCACCGCTTTCATTTGACACCCTATACGTCAAAATCAGGCCCATAGCAACGAAGATACGTTATAGCGCCCATTTGACACTGCTGGTATCTTTGTTTTTTGTGTTAACGTATTTCTCGTCCCCTCCCCGTTTCAACGAGCCCTCGTACGTCACGATCGGACCAATAAAAACAAAGATATGAAACGTAATGCCCTTTTGGCATGCTCCGATGCTAACGGCACATACTCAATTCAATCCCATTTTGCATTCCCTTTCCAACGAGCCCTCGTACGTCATCCTATATTAAGCTGTTTGGCACTTACGACCGGGAGTTGCAATTTTAAGGGATGCGATTTAGGGGAGGTGGGCCAGGAACCGTGTACTATATCTACTAAGACATCTTACAGTATAAAATAAACATACCAATCAATATTATACAAACCATCGAAAACATTTACTTTCATAATCGAATACAGGCAAAGATAAATGATGACAGGGTGACTCGTTAAGCCCACTTCTCTTTAATATAATAATGGACAAAATAATACAGTACGTAAGGGTAATGGCTACAAAATGGGGAACAAAGAAATCCAAATATTATGTTATGCAGACGACTTCGCATTAATCTTTGAGACAGAAGACGAGCTCCAAAGATTAATACACATCTTCAATACAATGTGATTACAGCCAAGAAATACAATATAATTATATCAGCAGAAAAAACTCACTAGGATGTAAAATCGAAATCATTGGGAAAATATAAAGCAGGAAGCCAGGTTTATATATCTGGGAATAGATATAACTAGTTACGGAGATTCTGAAGAAGAAGTACGACAACAAAGCTTAAAATCAAGTAAAGCGGCGGGATCTCTTAATGACACGATCTGGAAGAACAAACACCTAAAACAAGACACAAAAATAAGAATCTATAAAGTAACAATTAGACCTTTTATTATTATTATTATAAATAAGCGAGGGTAGAGGAACAAGTCCCTGTTATGCCCAAAAACAAAGAAATTTCATTAATACCTACTAGTAAATACACAAAATTACAATTTTTGGTTTCAAAGAAAAACAATATTTTAACTATAATATAAAACTGTCAAGTCTGTTTCAGTCTGTTTTTGAACGAGTTGGTAGAGGGAGCAGAGACAATGTTATCATTAAGGTTATTCCAGCACTCAAAAACTCTATTTGGTAGAAAGTTCTGTTTTGATCTTGTAGAAAAGTTTTCTTGCTTTAGTTTAAACTGATGACCTCTAAGGCATCCATCTTGACTTATGGTAGACATGTAATCGAAAATTCCAAAATTCAATTTTAATATTTAAATGTTGTAATTAAGTCTCCACGTTGTCGGTGAAGTTCAAAAGAAGTTAGGTTAGCCATACTAAGTCTTTCTGCATAAGAAGATTTTCTCGGTCCTAAAGGAATTCGAGTGGCTTTTCTTTGAACGTTTTCCAACAGTCTTGTCTCGAACCAAATCAGGATACCACGTTGGTCCAGTTTATTCAAGTATGGGTCTTACGTAAAGAGTGTAAAGTTTACAGAATGATTGCATTGCAACTCTCGAAAAACACATCCAAATAAGATACAGTCTGGAGTTCGCATGTTTACAAATAGAGGTAATATGTTCGGACCAAGTTAGGCTGCTGTTTACGATAACACCAAGGTCGGTTTACGAAAACTGAAGGCCTTCCCTTCTTCTTCTTTTTGTTGTGGTATGTAATTTAAAGCTTTCTTTGGCCATCTATCTTCTTACATTTGCTTACCATTTCTACTATTTCTATTTTTTTTCTATCTTTTTTCGTCATGTGCCAAACTTCTGCCCCATAAGTCATAATAGGCTCTACCAAGGTTCGATAGATTGTCAATTTCTTTTCTTGTCAATATATTTAGACCATCGTAGAGAGTTTAGAATGTTTATCGCTTTTTCCCGCTTTCCATCCAATATAAATCGATGGGTGACAAAATGGAAACAGAAGTGGAACAAACACATTAGTAAAATGGCAGAAGATAGTATAGTAAGAATAGCACGAGATAGCAATATTGACAGACCAAGAAATAAGATGGTGCGATAATTTAAACAATTTAAGAAGCTAATATTGAAGAAGAAATATGCTTTAAAGCCTACATACAAGAAGAAAAAAGAAGAAAAAGAAACTGTAGTGTCTGTCAAGCTTTTTTAATTAAATCTTTACCTTATTTGCTTCAAATAGATACAAACCTATCAGCCCCTCGTACATCGGGTGGTCTATGAAGATGTGGATCTTTAGCTTGAGTCCCCGCTAGTCTATCTCGATAGCTGATCGGAGCAGGTTGTCTTCTCTGTACGAGCTGGATACGTGGTCGTGTGGGTAAGTCCGAAAACATGTTGGGGAATATTGGACATATTTGCTTAAAATATCAAGATTATAATTTATTAAAGGCAACTAAACAAGATTATTTGGACGACCGATTTGTGGGTTCACCTATAGGTGGATCCACACATAGATCTTCCAGATCAAGACACAATATAAATAAGTTAGATCAAATAGTATACATTTTTGTGTTTTATGCACATTTAAGAAACTATCTAAAGAATACTCACAAATTTTGCAGCAGACATTTTTGCTACTATCGCTGCCTTGTAGTGATCCCTTGGTCCAGATACCGTAAAAATGGGATCTAAACAAAAACACTGGTTTGAGCATGAGCAGCATTTACGTATCTGTATTCTCCTCAGATGGATTTTAAATAATGACACTTACCGTACATATAATCATGTGGTCTATAAGGGAAACAAAGGGAAGATATTGGAGGCATAATGTTGAAAAATTAATAATTCCAAAGTTCTCGATAGCAGTTAAAATAATTTCATAAATGTTAAATTTTTGGCACGTGACATTTATAGGTTAGTAGACTGTTTGATGGATGTTCATAGTAACTATGGGTTTGATCGATATTTTGGTCGTTTTGTAATGTATTGCACTCACGATCAATATTTGACCAACTGACATAAAACTGAAAACTTTATTTAATTTGTTTATCCAGGTGTATTGTAATATTAATACATCCACTATGTTTATCGTAGGACGAAGATGCGATTAGCTACTGTCGCTACTGATCTTCTCTTTTTAAATACACATTATTATTCTCCTATTATATGTTGTAATAGTCGCAACAGAAGAAATTACTCTTAAAAAAATAACGTAAGAGATATTACGCAAAACCACCTATAAGAGGATGTCGAAATAGAAGCTGTAATGAAGCATATGTGTAGTATAAATGAGTCCGCTAGATGGAAAACTTTGTATTTACTGTATAAGTCAAACTGAGTTATTTGCAAAAAACTGATAAATTTTGCAAAAAACCTTAGACATAATAAATGGCACTTTTTTGTGATAGATAAATGCTTTATTAGGTAAAATATAATGATTTTTTTCTTAGAAAAGTTATTGGGTTTGCTAGAAAAGGAAGAAAAATTTGAAAATACCGAGTTTTGCAAGTGAACTATGTAAATACAGATTTATGCAACTAACATTTGCAAATACATGATAATAGTCAACCATTAACGATATTAGTGGTTGTTATATTAGTCTGTTTTCTAAACCTAGTGTGTTAGGAATAAGGAAGAAAGCATGTGGAAGTAAACTTTTAGTGAAGTTTATTTTTATCCAAAGTACAAAAGGTATTACAAATTATAATATGTATATATTTATATTAATTCCTAAACTCTAAGTTCCTCTGGGTCCTCATCATCAATATGATCATTTTCTGCAGCACTCTCGTTATTATTTGCTTGTACGCCAGTATCTATAATTTTATAAAATTTGAGATCCGGCTGGTCTCTCCAATTTTCACCAAAATGGTTTCTAAGGAGAGTGCCTATGGACGATTTATCTCCTTTCAATGAACATCCAATCTGTTGTAACTTTGGTTTCAATAAAGAAATCTTTTTCCCTTTTCGTATTATAGACTTGCTGAACCCTATGTCAGAACGATAAAATATTTCCCCCCTTACCGTAGCCATATAATCTTTGTCCTTAGAAAATATAAATCGTTTCGTTGCATTACATTTAAAATGCCACTGGGAAGGTTTTTTAACAACAACGTCACTCGTCTTTCTCCAGTCTGATATCTGCCAGTCTTTACCAAGTCTCAGCACCTTTGAGTGTTTTCCAATTATGTCTTCATATTCTTTTCTGTTTATTACAACGTTCTTCTTTTTTATCTCCCTTTCTATCATACCGAAAATCCTATCTGGTGGCAAAAAGGAATGACCAACAACAGGAAACGTAAACTCCACTTCCTTGATGTGACCAGGTGCTTCATAAACCAACCAGTAGATTATCATAGACATCATCGTGCTATTTTTGTTCTGTCCACCACATCCATCTGCAAATAGGTGAACTTTTTCGATTTGATTTTTAAAGTTGAATTTTATGAGAGTATCATGTACAGCAGAGGCAACAGCATTTGAATCTTTTGGATGTTCAAACTCCAGCCACACATATGACGTCACATTTGCAGAAGAAAGATGGGATTTCGAATTTCCAGCCACGATGGTGAAATTATAAAAATTTATTTGCTGTGAGAAATAAGCCGCCTGGTCGGGAAGCTTTGGCAAAGAAAGATTTTTTTGACAATCAAAAGAAAATATTTGTATGTTATGATTTGATTCATTTTTTAACAAAGAATAAAAGGCTTTAGCTCTTAACGTATGAACTCTCTGCTCTGTTATAACCTTTAACTTTTCTTCTTCTGAATTTTCTTTTCTCAAAATTTCCTTCGCTCTGAGACACGCAGAACAAGCATCTACTAAGGGAGTGCCGAATGATATGTTGTAGTGTTCATTAACGTATGTTCGGAAATATGATAACTTTACGGAATGATGTGGATGACGTTGACAATACATTCTGTAAAGCTTTGTAAAATTCAGATCACATGGTAAATACAATCTAGTCGATCGTCCTCTATTATAATGACTCTCTGCACCGTTCAAACGCCCCATAAATGTTTGGATAGATAATTTTATTGGATCAAATCTACCTTTTGTTGTATCTCCCCTCTTCTCTCTTTTGGTATTTCACCCCGGATAACAAACGTTCTTACAACACGCTCTATTCTTTCAGAACTTAAATGAGTTATTCCAAGAAATGCTGTCTTGCATACTCTTAAAAGTCCACCCTCTACTGTAGGAACAAAATATTTAATTGAAATTCCATGTAGGTTTGTACCTGATCTCTTGGGCTTTTGACCTTCACAAAATTTCAGCAAAAAAATATCTTGTTTTATTTTGTCAGTTGTTGAATACAGATTATTATGGAAACGCTGAATGTCTCGCATCTTTAAATCTATACAACAATACACTTTCTTTGTATGGTTACAGGTGGGAAAACCGGGTAAATCCTTAGGTTTATGCCTAAAAATATTGACAATAAGTCCCAAACCTATCTAGTTAATTGTAGACACCTCTTACCTCTTAAGTTTCATTACATTTCGTTTCCATTTTTCTGTTTGTACAACTCGTTTTCTCCCTTTTCCTTTTTCACAAGGTCTAATATGCACATGAAGATCCATAATGTTAATTATTTGCAATAAACTTGGTGTTTTTAGTACTCAAATAACAAACAGTGAAACCGGTAATGGCGAATGATGGAATAATTGACATGTGCACATGAGACGTGTCATGTGACTCAAACAATGTAAGCGATTGGCCAATTGCAATTACACAGTTATGCAACTGGCATAGGCTGACAAATACAGAGTTTTGCGTCTGACTCAAGATTTCTAATGCCTTTTTCTTAGTAAATACCTTACTTTGCTGCTGAATTTCTACATCAGCAGATAGCTATAACATGTGACAAATAACTGTCAGCTAAAACTCAATTTTTACAATTTTTGCAAATACAGAGTTTTGCATCTAGCGGACTCAAATGAACGATAATGGAGAAAAAATTAAGGTAATGAAAGAAAAAAACAAACTCAGATTTCTTACTGGATAAAAGATCTTCATCAACGATGACCTGACTGAAAAGAAAGACAAATGAGGCAGGAAATTGTAAATAAAGGCAAGGAATTAAGAGTTGAAGCAAAAAACGTGAAAACGTTTCTTTGCAATCGCCATCAAAATACCCGTTTTATCTTTAATATTACTTCTTTTTGATAAGGCATTTTTGGATATTGTTTTATTATCTTCTTCATTAGTTCCCATATTTGGTAGATATTTCACTACTATAGTTTCTGCAGGCACATCCCTCTGGCATAAATTTCTTCTTGGAAGGTAGTGGAGTAATTATTTAGGCCTTCACTAAAACTTGGCCTTGGTATTTCTCCAAATCAATATTTCAGCTATAACTCCTACATTGGTTTTAGAGTCATATACTATCATTGATCTGATTGATCTCTTCGACATTATATTTGGATTGCATTGAATCTGGTTCATAAAGAACCAGTTATAACTCTGGACAATTTATTATTTTCTCTCCAGATTTCATCCTGGCATCTTTTCGCCCTGCTTCTTGGCGTATTATCTGCTCTTTCTATGCCTTCTTCTCTATCCATATATGACCTCCTCTCTGGTGGTCTTTTGTTGACATTTAGACCACCATACTATTGCAATATATGTAATCATAGGTCTGTCTACAGTTATATATCACCAATACATAGTTTGGGTTTCATATTCTTATGACTTCCTACATATCCTTCGACATTTTCAAAGGAAAGGCTATTGGATATTCTTTTTAGATTGGTATTCTATATGAGCTGCTCATCTAGTATTACTCCTATCTAAATATTTGACCTCATTTGCCTCTTTGCTAGTTTCTCCATACAAAGCGATAATCCAGATGTCTGGGTTTTCTAGGATAGACAGTTTTTCACAGTCGCACCATCTAATAAGGATATTTAATTTTCAGTTGAGTATGCTGGATAGAACATTTCCGTATATTACTCTTACAATAATTACTAGATCATCAGCATAACTCTGCACTTCTATCGCGTGATAGTATATATTCTGTGACGTTTTCTCTTTAAATTCCAATTCATAATAAAATTATGCTAGATTCTAGTCACCATTTAAAAAGCCTTTAATCAAGTCTTGGACAGCTTGAAATAGATCTTAGCCAGTCTTGAATTGGAAGATCTGTTCAAGTCTGTTTAAAGCTTTTCTTGGCCAGTTCAAAGCTGCTCAAGACCCGTTTAAAGCTGATCAAGACTTGTTTAAAACCTATTTAAAACCTTTTCAAGACCTGATTACAGGCTGTTAAAATTGTGACTAGAATCTAATATGATTCCAAAATGAATAAGGATTTAAAGAGAAAGAGAAAACGTGACATCAAGGGTGGATATCTCTTTTAATGCTGCTTAATGATATAGATAATATAGTCTTCTTCTTTAAGTGTCATGCCCGTGGCGGAGGTCGGCAATCATCATAGCTATTCGGACTTTTAAGACAGCTGCTCTGAAAAGTTCGTTTGATGTACATCCGTACGACTTACTCAGGTTGCGCAGACATGACATTCTACGCCTCCTATGCTTTTCTTTCCTTGAATAACCACTTGAATAATGTTTCCCTGTATAATCAGTTGGAGCAAGGTGTGCTCCAAGACAATGAAGCAAAGTGTTTAGTGGTTCACTTTACATTTGCCCAAAATATTTCCCATAATTTTTAATGAAGAAAATTCCCAGTCTTCTTTCCTAGGACGTTTATATCATCCTAGGTTTTCCAGCTTAAGTCTGCTCATCAATAATTGGTGATCCGGGAGAGTGGCTCTGTAATAAGAGCTCTAACGTTGCTTTTTAAGATTCGGTAAATACGTCTTTAAGTAGGCCTGTTCCCGGTGCTGGATCTATAAAAAGAATCTTGTAGATTCTAGTGCTGGCAGCTATATCTGATGACAGAACCTCTTCCAAGATTCCTTAGTTATTTTCTTAGCTTTTCCAGTTTTCTGTTCACCAATGCATTTGTCTGTTCTTCGTCTTGGGCAGTTATTTTGGTACGCTGTGAGGATTGATTCCTTATAATATCCAATCATGTTTTATGTTTTTAATTTTACTTCCAAATTGGTTTGATATCCTTCCCCAATCACTGCACTTCAGATTCCAGGCTTTCTCGTATTCCAAGTACTATCTCTTGAAGTATGGAGTTATTCTGAGGTTTGGTAAGAAATTCATCACATTTTGCTTTGATTTACAGTCTTCAGAGAGCTGATAGGTGTGGGACAAGAAAAAATCAAAAAGATAGGTCTATTTTGTTTTCAAAAGTGAGATTTTTATTCTTAAAGGTATTGATTCTTCTTTAGAATTTTAAAATAAAACAAAAATGTCTAATAAAAAATGGTGTTTTTATTACAGTAAGGGAATAAGGATATTTACAATATTAGTTTCATAATTAATTTTAAATTAAGTACACAACCGCTGCATTTTTCAAGAAGCTGAAGAAAAAATATTTTAGTAATATTTTTAATGAGATAAAGAAGTACTTGAATTAATGTTATTTAGTCAATTTATTAAAATTGTATATTTATGACCTACACATTTTGTATATAATAAGAGAGAAAATTTTGCCGGCATTATTTTTGACTGGTATGAAAGTTTGCTGCCTGGTAATTTTCGCGAATTAAATGTTGACAGTTAAATCACGAGACGTCAGTCAAGTGATTTTGTTTTAATTTTATAAGAGAAAATTGCCAAAAGGCAACAAACTTGAATAAAACCAGAAGAAAATTTTGCCGGTAAATAATTTTCTCTCCAATGATATCCGACTAGACTATTTCACGAGACAATTAATGCACCATATCAACGAAACATAATCTTTATTTATTTGTTAACAATATTAAATGTACAATTATTATAAACAATAGTAGTTTGCCCATTCTTGTCTCGCAAAGCATGATTTTGTGTATTATTGACCTGTAGCATTTGGGAACTCGAAGGTCCAGTTTCATTGGTTGTTCCGAGACTTTCGATCAACTTCTGGTGGTGACTGAAATCCAGCTGCAGATATGGTTTAGAGAGCTTACATTTGAGTGACCCGTTAATTTAATTAACTCCTGTTCAAAAACACCTTGCTTGAACAAGGCTGACTCAGCAGAAGAGTCAGCTTTCCTGGTCCTGGGCCTTTCCTGGGCCTAATCTAACTGGGCATAAATTTTCGTTTGATAAATTTCTTACCAGCTATTTGCTGCTTGCCAAAATTTTTGCAATCGCCTTGTTTTATTTTGGAAAAAATGCTGTTGTGTTTAATTCGGCCAGTGAATTCTCCCATCACATCCAATTTCTTCTGGAAAAAGTGAACCTTGCAGTTTACGGCCTTATTGCCTCTCCAAGCAAATGCAAATGAGCAAAGGTGAAAAAACTTTTTTTGTGTTCCATCTGATGTTTCCTCGTCGTAGCTTTGGATGATTTTTAATAGTTCTTCGGTAGATAATGCTTTTGAACTGAGTTTTCTTTTTCTTTAATACTTTGAAGCTACCTCTGCTTGGTATCTCTTGCCAATCTTGCACATTTGAAAGATATATCTGTGAAAGGGTCAATTTTTATGCCGTAATCCGTAAAATATTTTTCTTGTACCATTTTTGCTGTAGTATTCCACATTGACTTTACAGACAACTCTTTATAGTTTTTGTCATTAAATTTTTTCATGTTCATCATTCAGGCGTAAAATTTCTCACCGTAGGAACTCCGAAAATTGGGTCCAAATAGAGCTCCTGGACCTCTGCGTGTTCAATGGGACATTTTTCGAAACCAATTTTTTTATTTTTTCACCTGAATGGCATTAAAATCTTGAATTTTCGTCTGATTCATTATATCTGTCCAAAATTAATTACGCCTCAATGACGTTTGTCAAACTGACAACAATAGAATTACCAGACACCTTCGTTGACGTCATAATTTTGTCTGAGAAATCACGGATGGAAGGAGTTTTGTCAGTAGAAAATGTGGCGTTGCTATGACGTTTTATCAGTTAAAAATAGTCTAGTGAAATAGTCTGCAAAATAGTTAAAATACCAAGTTTTCTAGTAAATAAGCATTGATTTTTGATAAAAGTACGTAAGCAAGTTGAAATATGTGAAAACCATCAATTAAAAATAACCAATGGATTTTTTAAACATAGAGATGTGCACAAGTACACCTGGACCCAAACTACAAGAAATCTAAAATCAATTATAGACTATGTCACCATAAAACAAAATACTAATATGCAAGTACAGGACACAAGAGCATACAGAGGAATATCATGTGGTTCAGATCATTATGTCGTAAAATCAAAAGTAACCTGTCCATTTAGATATAAAATAACACATAATCAAACAAATTGTCAACCCCAACAAGAAGAAACTTTGGAAAAAAGAAGTTATAATTTGGATAGTTTGAGACAAACTAATGAATATAACTGAAACATCAACAGTAGAGGAGATATATAAAAACGTAGTCGTTAGCGTTAAAAAAGCTACAGAAGAAGCAATCGGCTCTAACACTCAAAGACAAAGTGAAAAACTATGGTGGAACAAAGAAGTAGAAGCACTCGTAGAAGAGAAAAAGCAAGCGTATATCAGATGGCTGAGCAGTAAACAACAAAAAGATAGAGATGAATACCTGGAACTCAAAAGAACAACAAGAAGAACAACAGTAAAAGCAAAAAGAGAAATGTGGGATAAGAAGTGCCAGGAAATTAATACCTACCTGGGAGGCAGAAAATGTACAGAAACATGGAAGTTCCTTAGTAAAATAAGAACTAACGAAAGGAAGGGCACAAACATTCAATTAATATCCACAAAAAAACGGGAAAAGTACTATGGGGAACTACTGACAGAAAATAGGGACGAATACTTAACTCAATCACCAACAGAGGTTAATATTCAAGAAAGATATAACAATACAAGTGACAGAAATTAGAAAAAGCTATAAAAGAACTGAAAAACGGTAGGTCTCCAGGACCAGGGATATCCCAGCCGAACTAATAAAATGTGGATCACAAAAATATTTTGAAACCTATTGGTCTAATCAATTATAAATGGTTCTCCCGTACCCGACGAGTGAAAATTGCTTATATTTCGTCGATCCATAAGAAACGAGATAAGCTTAAATGTGAAAACTATAGAGGGATATCAGTCACTAGTACATTCAGCCGTTTGTATGGACGAATAATTAGAGAAGGAATACAAAGACCAAGAGGAAGAAGAACAATCTGGTTTTCGAACAGGAAGAAGCTGTACTGATAATATCTTCTGCCTCAAACAACTAATAGAAAAAAAATTAAGCACAAATCAAGAAACCCACCTTATATTTATTGACTTGCAGAAGGCGTACGATACAGTTCGTGTAAACAAACTCTGGAACGTGTTACGACAGACGAATATTAGTGTCACCTTAATAAAAGCCTTAAGAAATTTGTATGAAGGGTCAACATCACAAATAAAAACTGAAAACAGACTATCGCAAAGCTTCCTGTTTAATAAAGGTCTACGTCAGGGGTGTTGTGTATCACCGACCTTGTTTAAAATATATGTTGCAAAAGCATTGAAAGAGTGGAAACGAAAAATGCAGAGGCATGGGCGTAGACCTTGGAGAGATTTGCTTGTATACATTGCAGTTTTCTGATGACCAGGTTGTTATAGCAAACGATAAAGATGATCTGGAGTACATGGCAAGGAAATTACAAGAAGAATATAGAAAGTGGGGACTAGAAATAAATACACAAAAAACAAAATACCTGCCAATAGGTAACGAACTATCGAACATCACATTAGAAAATAACGAAATCATCATGCCCTGCGACCATTACACATACCTAGGAATCGTTTTTGACACAACGGGGAAAGATGATGAAGAAATAAAGAGAAGAATAACACAATCCAGAAAAACAATAGGTTGTCTAAACAGCGTACTGTGGAGTCATGAAATAGGAAAAAGAAGAAAACACAATATCTACGAATCTCTTATTAAAAGCAGTCTATTGTACGGAGCTGAAACTTGGCGAATAACCGAAAACAACAGAAGAAACTGAGGCAGTAGAAATGGACGCTTTTAGAAGATCAGTAGGAGTGTCACGCATAGAGAGAATATGTAATGATGAGATAAGACAGCGAATGGGGTTGACGGCTCTCTAACAACAGACATAGAAAGAAAACAGCTGATATGGTACGGACACGTCCAGAGGATGGATAACTCAAGACTTCCAAAAATAATTATGCAATGGGTACCACCAAACCGCAGAAAGAGAGGAAGAACCAAGAAATCTTGGAGAGAGGGAGTAACGAAGGCGATGAGCGCAGAGGTCTTAGAGAGGACCAATGGGATGATAGAGTGTCATGGAAATTAGGCATCGGACAACGTCGCAAGACGTTTTAAAACCGATTGATATATGTTGTTTAACGATGTCAACGCTGGCTAGAATTATATCTGTTGGCATATGAAAGGATTATCTTCACTGCCGTATCTTGTTTCATGATAGTGATTTTTAAAAACAAAACATATTTGACTTTAACGTTGAAAACCCAATTTAAAGCATTTATCCCAAACCTATTTATATACCAATTTAATAATCACTAACCTAAGCAGTATTCATTAATAAATTTACATTTCATGTTTGGAGAGATCCTACCCTCTTACTGCACTGGCAACTTTCTTATAATTGGTAAATCAAACATAAACTGTTTATGATACCTCTTCATCTCATTGATAATGCAACAGATCATTTTCTAACATGGACTTACATCTAACTTACAAATGTATTACAGTATATATGTACAACATATAAAAATAATTTTTTTCAACTAGTATTTTTGATTAACACACAACTTGGATATGAACATTAAATAATGAAATTCAGTAACAATTTTACTAGATAAAAGAGCAGTGAGATTTTACTGAAGATAGCTGATACAAATCCTTGAAGATGTACAGCTGATTTTGCTTTGTTTTTTTTAACAATAATAAAACGGTAAAAAATAACTTTTTGCCTATAAAATGTTTTATACATTTTAGAGGAAGACGAATAAACTAAAAGTTGTACATCTTGAAAAGTTTGTTAATTAGCGTATTTATAAATTAAAATAACATAATCAAACCCTTAATTTTGAAGTAATTTATAAGTGTTAATTACTTTGTTTTTTGAATAATAGCATGTAATATAGCTACTTAAAATTATGGCGTTTAACAAGCTATTGAAATGTACTAAATATCAGCTAGATCTGTCACATAGTTTATAAGTTATTCAATTTGTTTATTCCGGAGATTATTTATTTAAACAAGTGTATTTTGTAGCACAATGTTTTCCCTTAAATGTCGAATATTAAATATATAAAAATTTATTTGATACGCCTCTGGTTGATGGCGTTACAGCGACCTAATGCTATTTGCTTCTCAAGGTTTTCTCAAGGCTTTCTCAAGTCTGCTGGAGTTGAGAAATCGGTCCCGAAGGTGTATGAACCAATATCTTGGTCAACGGCACAAGGAGGCAAAGGGAAACCACTATATTAAATATCTTCATGGATATCCCTAGTACAATCACCATAGTTTTAGACACTAATAACGGCGTTACTGATCATGACCCTTGGAAGCCAAGATCCGGCAGGGGAGAAAAAGGACTCTCAGGTCGTTTATCAGCGAATTCCTTGTCAAAAGACCGTAGATCAGAAAATAAGACTGTCCAACACTAGAATAGAAACCTGGAATGTTCAGACTATGTTTCGGTCTGGTAAAATGCAGAATGTTATTCAAGAAATGAACAGATTATTCGGATAAAGTGATCAGGAACCAGACCAGACCATAGACTACATTCTGATCAATGAAAGATACCGTAATGCTGTTACAGCCGTGAAAGCATATCCTGGGTCAGACGTGCCCTCAGATCACAATCCACTTATCGGCAAGATTACACTCATCCTTCAGAATATTAAAAGACATCAAGAATCCCTACAATAAACACAAGAAAACTTAAAGAAACTAACGTAAAATAATACCTCCAACATGAACTGCAGCAAATTGAACACAAACACCAATGATATTGACGAGTACTGGGATGGAACTGGAACTACTGGAAGCCTGTAAAGAAATACTAAAGACTTCCGCAAGGAGAAAAGAATAATGGATGAATGACGAGATACTCAATATGATGAAAGAACCCTCTCTGTGGCTCAGTGGTAAGAGCGCCTGCCTTTAAACCTAAAGGTCGTGAGTTCAAATCTCACCTGGGTGGAAATTTTCGTTTATTAGAAAAAAATTATTAAATGAAAATAATTTCTACCTTTGTGTGATCGGTACTCACCGGAGGGACCGCAGACGTTCGGATACAATTAGCGTCTCTTAGCAAAGACAATGACGTCGACTTTGCTAAGTACCAAGACAATTACTCTACACACACAAACACACACACACACACACACACACACACACACACACACACACACACACACACACACACACACACACACTACAATAATAAACTTATCTTGATTGAGACTGGCTAAATGACAATTGTCCAAGCCAAAACACACAAAAAAAATATGATGAAACAAAAGGGATAATTTAAAAACAAACAATAAATATAGAGAGAAAAACCACCAGATCGGGAAGATCATAAAGCAGGCAGAAGAATACTTTAAAGAAAAATGTAAAGAGATCAAAGACCTTCGAAATAAATATGATCTGTTTAACCTACACAAGAAAGTTAACGAACTGGTAGGACTTAAACACGAAAATCATACTGGTGCACTTGTGGATAGACTGTAGCATTTTATATTTAATGTCTATAGATTCTGTTTTAAAATTTTGTAGTACGCCCCTGATTTGTTTCATGCGTTTAAGGAATTTAAAAACGATCAAAATATTATGGCATTTTTAAGTTGAGATTCCTAAATACGTAACAACGCTGGAAATATTAGATGTTTTTGTTTCTGTTACATTGTCAGGTAGAAACTCCGGTTTAAAATTAGGGACGCTAGAATAATCAATAAATACGTGTTATTTTTACCCAATTTAAAAGTATATATTTCAAGATGTTTTTTGTAGTTGAAAACGATTTGTTTACATGAGCCCACAAATAAAATGCAAGTCAGGTATTCAATTTTCTACCACGCAATAGTGATGGGAATGTTTTCAAGGTTGTTACGAAAACTTGTTCAGGGTATTTGTTTGTTTTAAGTTTGTAGACGACGAACTAGCTGCAAGACGGAAGGGGAAATGGATTGTGACTTCGAATTTGTAGAATGTAACGCAGTGTCAGTCAAGCTAAATCAACCAAATGATGAAGTCAAGCTATGGCAATTAAATTGAGAAGACGTGTTCGGGCGGCTTTAAACCAAAAGTCGATTTCATTTTTTTTTTGTTATGTCTTAAGACCAGTCAATGTGATAATACTCTTTGCATTAAACGCAGTTTAGACAGAGTAATCACGATAAGATTTATACAGTGTACCGGAAACTGATGAAATTTTAAAAAGATTAGTATATAGGATGTCACACCAGCTTTGTTGTCGTTTGCCAGCTTGATTCCTCCACCAATCCTGATTTGATCGTCGTTCCTGAGTATGGAAATGGTTTCCTGTTCTCCAGTTTGAGAATTATTTGTCCAAGTAGCTTCCCCAGAGATGTAGCAAGTTTTTTCTTTTTAAAAGTTAAGTGGCGAAATATGTGAAAAATAAGGTAACAATTAATATATTAAGTTTTCCAAGTTATATAGACATTTTTAATAATTGCTTTCATTAAAATAAAATAATTTGTAATAATTAAAGTTTTATATTATGTTAGAGTCGTAGCTAAAAAATGTCATCTTTTATTCTGTGTTAAAATGTTATGTTGACATATGACATTTTGCTCTAATCCATTGTTGTTGTAAAACAATTTTCATTTGATTATTATATAGAAAATATATTTCATATATAAGGTTAAATTCTATAGTATTTTTATAAAAAGGATATCCTTACGTTTTGATAATTTAATTTGGCCATATTATAACCTAGGAATAATTTCAAAATTTTTGTAGCAATCTCTTTTGTAAACAAATAACACGTAAGTTTTTGTTAATTTGTATTGTTATATAGAATGCTTCTTGTGTAATCTGTATTTTTGAAAACTGTTTGTTTGAGACAAAAATAAACGTTTGATTTGTTTGTCTGGTCCATTTTGTGTTTTAATTTAGAAAAGTCTCCTAATCCTTGTATGTATTTTTGATTTTAGGGAAGAAGAATTTTTTCTTTCTCCCAGCAGGAAGTGGCGTCCAAATAGAAATAGCTAGAGGTAACCTTGTCTGCCATATCTTATTTCGTGTTTTGATCCAGGAGATTTATGTAAGTATCCCTTTGTTTTCATTTTGTAGATACCCAAATCCGACCAATTTTATTCAACTTATCCACGAGCCAGCTCTCCAACAACCCTCTGAGTGCCGTAAGCATCAGTTTCGATTATTTTGTTTGTCCTATCTCTACCCCAGAGAAAGTACAAATATGGGCAGAATATATCAACGAACTGTTCAATCATGAAAGAGCAATGGAGCACATAGAACTTACGTCAGAGGAAATAGGTCCATATATTACAAAGGAAGAAATATTACAGGCATTAAAAACAATGAAGAGTGGGAAAAGCCCTGAACCTGACACTCGTCCTGTAGAAATCCTAAAAACTCTAGATGAGAAGCAGATTGATGTTCTAGTGACACTCTTAAACCAAAATAATAGTTCAGGTGTATTACCCAAAGAGTGGTTAACGTCGATTTTTATTTGTCTCCCCAAAAGAAAATCGCAAGAGAATGCAGCAATTACCGCATTATTCGCTTGATGTCTCATGTGCTAAAGTTACTACTAGAAGTCATCCATAACCGAATATATCACAAAAAAGACATAGACGTTAATGATACACAATTGTGTGTGACCATGATTGGTCTTTTGTGTGTTTTGTCTTTATTCTCAATATTTATATTATATATAATACGATCTCTCCCATTGTCCACTCTACAATCTGTAAGCTGTCTATTTCTCGGATTGTGAATAGTCAGAGAAGAAAATCTCAAACTATAGTGACTATAGTGTTTAAAACTGATCTTTAGACATCTTTTAGTATAAATTTTTGCCCTTTCAAAAGTTTTATATCTCGTTTGCATCATTACTTTTCCATTTATTTAAGTATTTGTGCGCAAGAGTACAATATTAAATGTTCACATCCCAAGTATTTCTCATTACAATATAGACCTACACTATGACTAGATTTTTACATTATTTTATATTTAAAGTTGAGATATTTTAACTAGTATGTACAAAAAGAAATATGTTTGAAATTTAAATAGATACACTGCATAAATTGTGGTAAAATATTTGTTATTTTGTTCAATATCGATCTTAATAATAATTAATGAAA